TGCACGATTTTTTTTCACTCTTTAAGCTGTGCTTGAATTTTTTTTGCTTTTTTTTGCTTTTTGCCCCAACCCCTCCCCCCCCCTCAAAAATCTAATGGTCCGTCCCTAAGGGTGACTGGTGGTGAGTGACTTACCAACGACTTTATAAATAGTTCTCAGCTTCCGCATTCCGACATGCGCTGCCTCGCAAGTGCCGTGCACGTGGGGTTCAACATGGAATATCACGTGACATGGTGTCCATTTGAACTGCACTCCATATATGGCGGTATCTAGAATGGYAAAAAGMCAGAAATGACGCATGCCCCGTTGTSTGACGTTGTATTTTCTTTATAAGGAACAGCAATAGTTGAATTTTAAGCTTTGTTTTATTATTTTTATTAGTATTCYCAGAAAGAATAATAAATCAATRTTCGAGTAATGAAACCATTTTTATGYACTCCGTCTGAAACGTGAAAACATTACGCCCAGCTAAAAGGCCAAGAGCCTGCATTTCTCCTGCTTATAGCGGTAAAAGAGCAGAACCTGGAAACGAAAATGCCTAAAGAAAATTGGGCGGGAACGACGTTACAAGCCTGCATCAATCTGAAAGAGATTTCTAAAATGAAAATGATTTTTTTGCCYTTTTTCAGCTGTGTTTTTAACATATTTTTGCTTGTTTGTTTGTTGGTTTGTTTATCGTTACTTGTTTATTTCCTACTTTACTGTAGCGTAAGAGTATTAAATAAGTTTCATGTCAGCAACAATGGGAAGCCATTTCAGTGTCATGGTTCAAGCCAAAAAAAGAGTACGTTACCACAATTACTGCATAATCATGCACTAAACACAAATACATCTTTCCAAAGCGATTTTTAATTGCTTACTATCAATCACGTGACTTTTTTGGAGTTGACTGGGGGCAAACAAGCGGTTGACTGGGGGGCAACTAGCGGATGCTAAGTCAAAACATATCAAAATAAGTTCTCAAACTATTGTATATGACTATTTTCACGACATCAAACCAGAAAACAAGAGATCAAAACAACCTCCAGGATTCTACAAGCCATCAAAAAAGAGCTATTACCGGAAGTGACGTCTATTGATAAATATATAGTTAAATATTCCTACCTCTCCTCTTTACATAAAAGGCGTAGAAAATTCTAGAAGAGTCGTGATGCCATAGTAACAATTTAGGCTTTGGTTTTATGCCGTTCGTTCTGTGTTTTTCATTTTCCTTTAATACTGCAACTGACTTCTAAATAGAAAGTTGTGAAAAAATTGGAAAGGAAAATAATTAGAACTTTATGACAAACAGTAAAAATACAAAATAAGTTGCATTTTTTATTTTTTATTATTTTTAAAAAAGAGGGAGGATTTCTCGCATCTATTTTCCCCCGTTCTGTCACAAGGATTTTCATCATAATATATATATGTTATTTACCGGCCCGGATAGGGAAAAACTGTGCCCGAGGGACTGCCAGAGGTGTCTCGAATATACGAACGGCCTCGTTTTCAAGACCGAGGGCACAGTTTTTCCCTATCCGGACCGACTATAGAACGGTAAATAACGTTTTGTTGTTTAGAGGCAAAGGATACCGGACTACGAGGGCGTTCAGATACTTACAAAATACCGCCCGCTCAAACAGCCAATCAGAACGCACGCTTTTTTAGGATAACGAACCGGAAAAAAATAAATGCATGAACTGCATAGCGGCTACAGACGCCTTAAAGTGCACAAGAACCCTTGGACAATACTTTCAGTACTGATTCTACATGAAGTAAATAGTTGAATGGTAAAATACTTTCATTTCGACCCTGTTGAGCTGCGCCACTCCTATAAGTTGCGGTGACGATTGGCGATGATAGAAAAAATAAAATGACGAGCAAGGAAGGAAGTAGCTATAGAAWGAATAAAACAGGTTCACTAAAGCAAAAGTACAAACTCGTTAAAACATTATGTCACTTCGTATTTTAGTTCTTAAACTTGCGTCGTGTTTTTGCGCTTTGCAAATATCAAAAATTATTTACAGTAGTTAAAAATAGTATTCAGACAGCGTGAAGCTGTGAAGAAATCTATAAATAATTGATCAATATTTGCGGTTGCGTGATATATCGACAAAAGCTGTTTCGCTTTCACTTGAGTACCAGCTTAAAAACACTCAGGGGGTATGTTTAATATTATTCTACACTACTGTACTTTTTTTTTGAAAAATCATGTTCATAACTTTTTTTTTTAAACAAAGATTATGGAGCATTATAAGTCAGTTTGGCCGAGTCAATAAAAACAGACAAAGCTCTGAGATTGGCCAGAAAATAAATAAATAAATGGTCGTCRAGACAGCGTATAATTTATGTTCAGCCGTCTTGGTTTGCCAGTCGTTCGCTTTTAGCATTATGCTTCTACGAGTTGGTCATTAAATATCGAGTATTGCACAACAAGGTAAGCAAGGTTTTTTTGTATGCATTTGAAAACTCTTCTGATCAACATTTGACAAAATTTTCGGAACATAATCGTATAATGATAATGAAAAAATATAMTATTATTGGTGTAGTGCTAAGGTTGTTTGGCGCGTAAAGTAACAATTGCTTTGTCGAAAGAAGGACTAGATTAGCGAAGGCTTYAAAAATTAAAAATTATTTGTAGCAATTTAGCAAAAATGAAAAAAAGCGGATGAAATCGAGGGGAAAACTTGAATGGCTTCTTACGCTTTGATATTTTCTTGATTTTTTCTTYATGTAAATGTTTAATATAATAATGACTTTATTGGTATAAAACTCAATTAATGCAAAAAGCATAAGTTTTCATTGAGGCTATAAGAAAACATATAAAAGACAAAATATAATAAAGTTTACAATTAAAATATAAAAATCTGAAGGGGAAAATTGTTAGGCCTTTATCAAGTACCCCCAACCGAAGGTGATGAAAGCTTCGCCAAGTTTTTCGCCAGGTTTTTCGATTCCAAAAAGAAACTCGCTCTACAAGCTATGATTGAAGCGATGATGAACGTGTGAAGTGAATATACGATATTCTATAAACTATGAACAAAATAATCGTATTTATTATCGTGTCTATTCAAAGAGGCGTCGTAAAAAGATACAAAGAACAAAACAAACAGCAAAGCCAAAGACACTTTTTTTTGTTAACAATGGTCTTAGGACTTGGGCTTTCGCTAAGTCTTACGTCCCTCGGAAGAAACAAATTCCTAGCTGGCGGGAGACAAGTTTGACTTTGGCAAACTGAATGGCAAAAAATTAATCAGTGTACCTCGAAAATTTATGAGTCCCGCTGAATATAAAGAGCTCTGTTTTATTTGATATTTTCTGAATAATGATCAATTGAAGACTTGACAGCATGAGAGCAACCGTTCAAAAAATAGCCTAGCGTAGTCTTTGCATGTACAATAAAGCGAAACCGCGTTGTTGACGCTCAGTATGTGATGTGTAGTAGATAGTAGCTCCAAGGAGCTTGCCAATATTCATGCAGGCTTTTTTTCGTTTGGTTAAAGCCGCTTAAGGGAAAAATATTYAACTCGGAAGAAACAGAAAAATATTGATAACAGTTGTTTGTTTTACGCTTTAGAAGAGATCATTAGCTAAAAACTAGTGTGAGCTGCGTCRGTGTTTCTAATGAAACAGTCTTACGCCTTAGTTTGTTTTCCTTTGAATTGTATATCTTGATTAATTCCAGCTTTTTTCAATAAACGTTGAAGATAAGTCATTCCAAGCTCCAAGAATTGCTTAGAATAGCTGGACCTTCGTGCTGAGACTGATTCGATGTTCTTTSTATTCAACGAAACCATTTCCATGTCGGAATGAATTATTGAAATAGGTGTGTGTATACATTCTTGATCTCGATGACTGAAAGGTAACTCCAGAAAGCTCGRGGAAGACTTAAACTTGGAAATAAGCCAGTTTCTTGTTTTAAGCCAGTGGCTAACAAGCCTTCAGCGCTTGTGAGAGTGTAATTAGCTTTTTTGAAATTTACGTCTAAAGCCCCGCTTACACTGGCGATTTTTGCGGCGATTTTTGYTGCAATTTCTGTGACAATTTTCGGAAATATGAAATTTTTCGTCTCATCCTTCAAAAGAGACATTCGTCTAGGAAAATCTTGGTATCCTGAAAAAAACTTTACAAGTTAATGCTTTACCATTATTTAYTATGGAAAAAATCACAAAAAAATCGCCGCAAAAATCACTAGTGTAAAGCACGGGGTTTAAGAAGTCAATGCAAATGTCAGTAATGTAAACAAAAAAGTTCATTAAAAAGCATGCATTCTTTTTATCGAATTTCAAACAATCGTAYATGTAGGTTCCGCTATGTGCTATTTATTCGTTTTCCCCGTTCTAGCCAATGAATCATGAGCAAGGACTTCCTGCGACAACGACCAATCAACAGGCTTGATTTAGACGCGATTTAATGCTATGAAAATGATAGGTTGATTATGAATGTAATGACATTTAATTGACAGTCAATCCAGTTTTAATATGTGCGACTAAAATACTAATCTTCCCAGTCGACCAAGGCAATTGTGGCTTTTCTATCGCCTTCGTAGCGCCTGTTATCAGTAACCGCAAGAGCATTTCAAATCGACCACTTGATGCCAATGTTGTACTAGTCTCCCACGCATCCGTTTTTAGTGTCGGTCGTCACGCAACGAGGAGGGAGCGTTGCGTGACGGCCGACACTAAAAACGGATGCGAGGGAGACTAATGTTGTACTAAGTCGTGACCACGTTTTGTGACCGAAGCGCATTCAATTTTTTATCACGTGGTTTAAAAAACGTTTCCATGTTGTACAACATTGGCATCACGTGGTTTGAAATGCACTTGCTGTTAACATAACAGAGGAGTTGAAAAAATGCCTCGGTCTACTGAGGAGAGTCAGTAAATGAGAATCGGCAGGGCGGTTTGTACGGCGGCTCCAATAGCTCGCGGTATCCGGAATAACACATCGTTCGGACGTTAAGCAGGGTGTCCGTTAATATGTTAAAAAACAGCTATTTTCCTATTTTCCTAAAAATTTAGTTTTAAAAGAAAAAATATCCAATAATAGTAATATTGATAATAAAAATAAATAAATAAATATA